AAATTATTGCTACCTTTTACTTATCAGGGACTAAATGGTCTCTATAAAACGATAATCAGGATCGCAAAAAAGTCAACTCATTTGAAACACTTGCCGGACGTCTCTCTCTTCTGAAATCCGCCTCGGTGATCATGGTCCGGAATCTATTTCTTTCAAAAGTGTTGCGCCAGGTTTATGTTGTCGGTGTTTCTCTTTAAACCTAGTTTTTTTTTTCATGGACGAGGACAGTTTTTCAAAAAAATAATCTGAGGTTAATTGGTTTTCGTCCACTTCGGATCGATTAGAAACGTGTGAATACTTACACTATGATTATACGTTTCACTGCAACTGCCCACAACACAACATCTAAAAACTCTCTCCGTCAAAAAAAAAAAGAAAATAGACAAAAAAAGAAAGAAAAAAAACACCGACTGAAAAATGTATATCGTTTAAAAGTATACTGAATGATCAGTGTTATTACGGCTCAGGGGTATGACTTCCTCTCACATTTTGGCATTTGGTGGCGCGCTTTCGGCGAGAGTCGGAAATCCGGAAACAGTCGACCGTTTCAGGATAGATGGACGTGGCTACAACACGAGAAATATCCCAAATTTACTTGGATACGAGTAATCATTTTCACCAAAAAAATCAATAACTGCCCATTTCAGTGGGATACAGATCTAAAATGGGAAACGTGAGGGTGGGCATTGGACAGGCACTTTAATTGATTGAAAAATAAATAAAATTTCCAGATGTGTGACTTTTAGCTACAATACAAATGTCAGGACACAGTCGATGGTGTGTCTGTCATAACACTCGTAAATGAGCGCCTTAAGCTGATCGCTGCACCCTCGTAAAAGAGATTTGAACGAACCAGTTCTAAACATGTAAGCAGTCAGCAATTTAGCCGTCAATTTTGCTGTAATAAAAATATTCAACAGTAAATTTGATAAATACAACCCCCAAAAATAGGTGCGAAATGTGTTGATAAAGTCCTACACGTTTATTTTTCTAGGTTGTACGTAATGTAGTACACTTTTGTAGAGACGATTTATTGACACCATTATCGCTAGCGTCATGTCATTTTATGGAAGAAGTAAATTTATGTACAGAGACGATAGAATCAGAACATAACTATAAAAATAACACCACACTGCAGGTAAGATATTTATATTGTGAATTTATTATGAATATATTGATAAGCAAATATATACATGAAAGCAATATGCCAACCATATCAACCAACATGCAATGGAGGTCTGTGCATTTTTGTACTTCCTAGATACCGTACGCACTGTGACAGTATTCCCATGACAACCTTATTATTATAACATACTTCCTGTTCATAGTTATATTTTTTTGTATGGAATGAAGTTTTATTGTTTTTTGTGCTTGATCAGTCGGTATGATAATAGTATATGTACATGTACCTACTTAACATTTGTAATAGTTTATAATTTCTCTCTTCTGCCGTTATTGTGCTTTAATATGGATGTAATTTTGATTGAATGTTTTTTCAGGACAAAGTCCATATCAGCAATGCTGTCTTTTTAACGGTGAAATTTGATCCCCGATGCTCTACAGAAGAAGGTTGTGATGAGTTGACCATCGCGTCAAGTCCTGATTTTAAACTAGACAAACGTGTATTCAGCGGTTCAGCACGGGATAAATGGATTGATTTTGATATACCTGGTTAGTTACTCTGTATTTTACTTCACCCTGTCACTATTTGAGCTATCTGACATAAAGTGTATTACCGGTAGTAGATTAAACATGTACCGTATTTATCCGGGTATAAGCCCAGGGTCTTGAACATGGAAAATTGCCAAAAAGAAGGGGTGGCGTTTGCCAGGAGATCCCCGGCAAAAAAACCGAAAATTCGCGAAAATTGACAACACGCAGTTCGAACTGCGGCAGGGGATAGAACAGCAAATTAAAACATGCAACGGAAATAAATGAACAATATGCAACACTAGAAGTCGAACAAAAATAATGTATTGCTTATAATGTGACAAATAAACCAGAAATAATAAAAATCGACAGTGAGAAATCATTTGAATTAGGATTTTCCCGCCGACAAACACTCCCAATATGCGTGAACTCAAAATGAATTAAAATGTCAGGGGTTAAACTGCGTAAAATGATTTCTGGTCTCGACAAATTACGAATCAACCGTCATACAAGATCAATAATAGTTTACAAATTTACACAGTAAAAATTATAAAAATTCATAGCTGTTTGAAAAAACTTCTCAGATCTTTATTTGTACGTTCATTGCCATCTTCGTCAAACTCAAAACCTTCAAAGTCCAAGTCTGCGTCACTGTAGCCGTCGAACAAAATCTTATTCCCGAAGTTCGTCGATATCGTTCCACAATTTGGACTTGGCACTTTTAATCCACGGATTTTGCAGTCTGTCAGCTTGGCACTTTTCATTCATGTCTAATCATAATAAAGAGACAAGAAAAATGGGATCGCTCTGCTGCGATGGCACACGATGATTTTGTTTACAGTCTTGCAATCATCTTTGACCTTTATGCATCTGCTTTACTGATTGGCTAAGAATGACATCACTACTAGTATTTCATCATAAAGGTCAAATCATGACATTGCTTTTTTATCAGACTCGACGCTTATTAATAACGGTGAGAAGTTATCATTTAGCAAGTTCCGGCGGTTGGAATGTCTCACTAT